TTTTTTTTTTTTTTTTTTTTTTTTTTTTTTTTTTTTTTTTTTTTTTTAAGGCCTAATTCCTCCTTTACTCTTTTAGGCAAAGTGATTGGAAAGAATGGGAAAGTGATCCAGGAGATTGTGGATAAATCTGGTGTGGTGAGGGTTCGAGTAGAAGGTGACAATGACAAGAAGAATCCCAGGGAGGAGGTACGGGGCAACTAAGAGACTGGTTTCTAGAAGTAGGTGGGATTGTTCTCTGAGGGCTGGGATTCCTAGGGGGTGGAGCATGGAACTTTGGTTTCTCCCTAGTAGATGTACAGTCAGAAAGATCCAGATTAGGTAGGTTTCTAGGATACAGGCTGCGATTAGTATTTCCATTTGACTCTCCTAATTCATCTTTCTTTCCCTTTGTCCTTCAGGGAATGGTTCCCTTCATATTTGTTGGCACACGAGAGAATATCAGCAATGCTCAGGCTCTGCTGGAATATCACCTCTCCTATCTCCAGGTAGCTAAGGAGTGGTGGAAAGGGGGAGATTTGGGTGTAGCAAGGGAAAACTGATGGATAGTTTGTGTACCCAGTTCCTCTCTCTTTAATAGAGACAAATTGGGGCTATGGAGTGCGACCTCAGGATTTTCCTTGTTTAGGCATCGAATTCCTGAGAGTTTGTATATGTAGGGATGTTCAAAGGGCGAGACGCATGATCTTATACTGACTACCCTTTTATATCTTTTTCCATTTTCTACCCAACCAGGAAGTGGAGCAGCTTCGCTTGGAGAGGCTGCAAATTGACGAACAGCTTCGGCAGATTGGGCTGGGCTTCCGCCCTCCTGGGAGTGGGCGGGGCAGCGGAGGCAGTGACAAGGCTGGATATACCACTGACGAGAGCTCCTCCTCCTCCCTGCACACCACACGAACCTATGGGGGCAGCTATGGGGGCCGGGGCCGCGGCAGGAGGACAGGCGCACCTACCTATGGTGAGACAACCATGGGAGAGGGAGGCTTATGGGAAGAGCAATGGCAATAGGCGATTGACTGGAAGGACTATGAATGAGAGGGAGAAGTCTTCCAGTTTGGTTGCTATAATGGATGCCGGGGTAGGATGACTTACCTTGATTAACTTCCCACTGTGTTCTTCAGGCCCAAGCTCTGACCCATCCACAGCTTCTGAGACGGAGTCAGAGAAGCGGGAGGAGCCCAGCCGAGCTGGGCTGGGTGACCGGGATCCCCCAACCCGTGGGGAAGAAAGCCGGAGGCGGCCAATTGGTGGCCGGGGTAGGGGACCCCCACCTGCTGTCCGTCCTGCGTCAAGATATAACTCTTCATCTATTAGTTCAGGTACCAGTACCAGAGAGCTGGGTTCACAAACGTGGGCCAGAATGAAAGAAGATGGACTCCTGACTCACTGTGCCTCATCTATCTAGTGCTGAAGGATCCAGACAGTAACCCCTACAGTCTACTGGACACATCTGAACCAGAGCCCCCAGTTGATTCAGAGCCAGGGGAACCCCCACCAGCAAGTGCCAGGCGCCGCCGATCCCGCCGCCGCCGCACTGATGAAGATAGGACTGTCATGGATGGAGGCCTAGAATCTGATGGGCCCAGCATGACAGAGAATGGCCTAGGTAAGGGGTGTGCCTGGGGTCTAATAAAAATTACAACTGGGGAAGAATTGAGAAGTGGGAGATTAGATGTGTGATTCCTTTTCCTGCCTCACAGAAGATGAGTCGAGACCCCAGCGTCGTAATCGGAGCCGCCGCCGTCGCAACCGTGGTAACCGGACTGATGGTTCTATCAGTGGAGATCGGCAGCCAGGTCAGCTGGATGCCAGAGTAGTGCTTCCTCAGATCTCAGAGAATGCAGTGCTTCCTACCCTGTGAAAAGCAGCGGTGGGGATTCATCGGTGTCTAGGCCTGGATGTCTGGGTTCCTTCTGAAACTCTTGCTCTTCTGCCTCCCCCCAGTGACTGTGGCTGACTATATCTCCCGGGCAGAGTCTCAGAGCCGCCAGCGGCCACCCCTGGAAAGCAGTAAACCCTCAGAAGAGACTCTTTCAGGACAGAAGGTAGGCAGGCAGATGGAGTTTGCCTCACCTCTTCTTGTTCTGTGATGGGGGGTGGGGGCACAAGAAAATTCTCACAGAAATATTTCATTGAATTGTAGAGTCTGCTGTGTAAGTCTAATGGGATTTGAAGTTCATTTAAAAATTTTCACTGAAAATTTGAACAGAAAAGAGGGAAGTCAGGCTCTTGTTCTCTGTCCCAGTGAGAGTGACTCCAGCATCAGACCAGGGGACTAAGCCCTGGGTGCACTGGGTACCAGGCAGGGTTGGGTGGCAGGGTATGTCATTAACTGAATTTCTACTGACCACATGATTTTCTCCATTTTGTTTCCTACTCCCCCCTCAGGGTGACTCTGTCAGCAAGCTTCCTAAGGGCCCCTCAGAGAATGGGGAGCTTTCCGCCCCCTTGGAGTTGGGTAGTTTGGTGAATGGGGTTTCATAAAACCTCCAGCCCACATCCCTCCCTTCTCCATCTCGCTTGCTGCCCAACACCATGGCCCTCACAGGCCTGACTGACCTGCGCTGGAGCTGCTCTTATCTAGGGGGGGAGGGGGGTGGCACAGCAGCTTGGGTCCCCCCCAACCTCCAGGAGCTAGTGGAGGGGTGTGTAACAGGGTCATACCCCCCCTCTTGTCCACCCTACCCCCAGGGTGAGGGGAGCCTCTCTCCTTCCCCCATCAGACTGGATGTGCCTTTATCCTCTAATGCCCCAATCTCTCAGAACACCCCCATTCTCCACCTGTTGGTGGGGGGTGCTCCTTGACCCACCCAGATTTGACAGTTCAGGGGGGCTCCCCTGCTATCCCTCCTCCCATCCTGTACCCCCCATTTCTGGGGCCTCATCACTGTGGAAGACGGGGATAGTAAGGGTAAACGTGGGTGGGAGGCATGGGGAAGGTTTTGGAGTAGAACCAGGGGTGTGTACGAAGGGGGGTGACAAGGTCCCCCAGGGGAGGGGAGACCAACCTTGTCTGGTGGATGAGAAGGCGTATTTATTTTTCACTGTACAGTATTTAAAAAGAGAATAAAAAAATCCAAATGGCTTTCTGGTTCCTGTGCTTTCCTTGTGCCCAGCTTGGTCCATCTGTTTCTCTAGGACTGGCCTCTGGCCCTTGTTTCCTGTTTGACCACACCTGGCTTCTCTAGTGCTCCAAAGATGGTCTACTTCTGGGAATTCCTGACATTCCTAAATTCCCCAGGCCCAGGTACCCTCTTGATCCTAAGAACTGGCTTTTCCCCTCCCCCAGGATCACAGGTAGAGGGAGCTGGGCCACTCCTACACCCTGAGTCACAGCAAGGGCTAGGTAGGGCCGCTCAGAGCTGGAGCAGGCTGCGGGCTGAGCCAAGGCTGGCTGCTTAATCCGATTACCAAAGCCTGGGGCTTGGGCTGGGCCCTGGGTTGAGTGGGGAACAGGGTTCCTTCACTGCAGCCTTTGGGACCCAGGTGTCCAGCCCTCATTCCTACTGTTTCTCTGGATCCAGGCTTTTCTACCAGCATCCACATCACTGACCTCTCATCCCTAACCCTGGGAGTTGTCCTGGGATTCCTGCCTCCCTGAGGTTTGGAGACAAAACAACATAATTGAATGGCTGGAGAAACCCAGGTTTGGGGGCCTGAGTTGGGAGGACTAAGGTTTCTCACCTGGGGGGGGTTGAATCACTAGAGCACCTGCTGGGATGACTCAGGAAACAAAAATGGCCTACCGCTGCCTGCCTGCCTTTCTTGCCCCAGGGGCAGGTCAGGGGTTTGAGGTGTTAAAGGTGCTAGAAAAGGGCTGGGGGTGGGGGCGGCTGGGGGGATGTTCCCAAATTCCTTTTAGCACGACTCTGACCCTCGTCCAGAGCTTGGTCCCATTGTGTAGGGGAATTGACTTTAAATTGCCAAGTGCTTAAGAAGGGAGGGGAAGATGATTCTAGCCACGGGGGCTGGAAGGCCCAAAATCTGGGTCTTGGGTGGGGGAGTGGGCGTGGTACCCCGAGGGGAAGTGTTGGGGGCTGGGAAGAACGGTACACCTGGGTTTGCCTAAGGGAGGGGGATGTTGGCGCCCTTAAGGAGGCGTGCTCTCCTGGCAGAGTGGGGAGGAGCCAGTCGTTAAAAGCTGTTCCCCGTTTGGCCCACCCGCCAGCCACAGACTGAAGCCAGGTGAGAGGCGCTGGCACTTGGGCTGCGCCTACCGGCGGCCTCGAGATTCCAAAGACCCAGAGCAGAAGGGTTTACCTCGCCACCCACGGGGGCTAGTGGCCCGGCAGCGGGACCGGGTGGGTACCTCCCAGCAACAAGGAAGGAGAACAAGACCTGTGCCAGGTACCACACAGCGTACTGCGCTCTACTCTCTCCGAAGCGCGCAGATTGGGAGCAGGGCCTCTGCTGTAAGAACTTTGAACTTGCAGGCGACATAATACTTTTTAAGGACACGAATTTTTTCAGAACTGCCCCAGACCGGGAAGACTTCTATTTGAGGATACCAGGTTTGGTAATCAACTTTACATTTTGGAGGGGAGGGCGTGTAGGTCGCCCTCTTTTAAGACTTCCCTCCCTCCAATCGCCCATGGCGCTATCCGGCTCTTCACAGGACCAGGCCTGGAACCTGGAAGCTCCAGCCCCCACTGCCTCTGCCTCGTCCTCGGGCTCCCAAGAACGGGAGGGCGCGCGGAGCCCGGCGGTATCCGCGGGGCTTCCATTGGAGAAGGTGAAGCGGCCCATGAACGCATTCATGGTGTGGAGCTCCGCTCAGCGCCGCCAGATGGCGCAGCAGAACCCAAAGATGCACAACTCTGAGATCTCCAAGCGCCTGGGCGCGCAGTGGAAGCTGCTGGGCGAGGACGAGAAGCGGCCCTTCGTGGAAGAGGCTAAGCGACTCCGGGCCCGACACCTGCGTGACTACCCCGACTACAAGTACCGGCCTCGACGCAAGGCCAAGAGCTCGGGCGCCGGGCCGCCCAACTTTGGTCAGGGAAGCGGCGGCGTGGCTGGTGGCGGGCGGGTCTGGGGACCCGGGTACCCGACCACCCAAGGGAGCAGAGGCTTTGGATATCAACCCCCCAACTACCCTACAGCCTACCTGCCTGGCGGTTACGGGTAAGTGCCTGGGAGTGGGGAAAGGAAGATGACTTGAGCACGCGGAGCCAGATATCGGAGGGCCTGGTTGGAGGGATTCTGAGCCCACACAAGCATTGGTCACTTATCCTGGAGGAGTTTGGGGGCTGCAACTGAGCTTTGGGGTGGGAGAGTTCCCGTGACCCAGTTTTCCTAGAGAACACTTCATCTCAGCCTAGCAGTGGTGCCCCTACACAGTCAGACCAGAGTTCCCGGGATGCGAGCATGTTCTAGTTAACCTGGAGCTTGCGATTCCCCTGCTTCTGGCCCGATTGTGACCTGGCTACCTCTCCCAACCCCTGGGGCAAGGAGAGAGGCCAAGCCCAACTCTGCCTCTTTCTGGCCTTCTGCCTCAGAGGAGGAAAACAGGCGCGCAGCACGCAAGCTCTTGAGCGTGCCTCAACAAGGCTGCCTGCTAAGCCTTCCTAGGGTCTAGTTCCGGTCCTGCTTTACCCAGTGGGTCCTAGTCGATTAAGGATAGTTCCACCTCTGCCTAGAACTAACTACTTGGACCCATCTCCGCATGCAAGTTGGGGGCCCTGCTTGGCATATCCCACCAAGGAAAATGCCCTCTAATGCGTTCTTTCTTTCTTTGCAGCTCTTCCCGCTGTAAACCTGACACCCCCTCACCGTGTTCCTTTCCTCAGAGTAACCCCAGGCTCCAGGGGGAGTTACTTCCTCCCTATAGCCCCTACCTACCCCCAGGTTCTCCCACCCAGTACAACCCTCCCCTCTCAGGTGCCCCCATGCCCCTGACCCACCTCTAACCTTCATGGACATGGACCACCCAGAAGGGTCCATTCTTCACCCAGAAGTGCCCCACTCCTAGGCTGCAAACCATTCTTGAGAACTGCTGGATCACAGTTTGGGGGAGGGGGACTGTGGTCCTCAAGGACGGCTGGGGGGAGCAATACAACACATTTTTTTGTAGGATCAACAGAGTTTTATATAATTTAACCATGTCTCTGAGTCTTTATTGTCCCATCTGTTCCCCTTCAACATAGCAGGAACCAGTTCTGGCTCCACTCCCTTCCGCCTGGACCTGCCAGAGCATGAACCTCCTCACCCCACCCCGAGGCCCTGCTTGAGTCATTCACAGCCCCCCTTCCTCCACTACCCACCTAGCATTGGGGGTCCAAGAGACAGTCCAGTGGAGGGAGGGGGAAGGCACAGACCCGTAAACAGACCTTTTCACCATTCACGCCTTCCTAGGGTGTGGGAAGATAGGGCAGGGCAAGACATTTTCCCAGAATAGGTATGTATCTGGAAATTGCTTATAAAGGAGGAATCTTAGCCAGATTATTACGACTTAATAGCACATGCACAAAACAGCACATGATAAATGTCTAATGTCAACTTGAAAACCTACGTCTATCCTTTCTAAAGCTTTGGATTTACAAACTGCATTTCCACTGGAAATTCTGGCTCAAAAAGTTAGAGTTACAGCGGTCTGGGGAATGGTTTAGAAATCACAGCAGATGACTAGATCAGATGGGAAGGATCCTGAGATTGGGGGGCTAAACAGAAACATGGAATGCATTCCAGTAGCTGGTTTAGCCCTACTGCTTTTTCTTCTTTGGGGGAACCTTTGCATTCCAGTAGAAGAGGAGCTGGGCAGTGATAAGACCATTGCATAAGGAAGAGACCACAAAAGTTCCAGCCATGAGGGGGTCTCCAGTTTCCTGGGTACAAAAAATAAAAGGTAGGGTCACTCTTGAGGAAAGCCCAAGAGGTTCAAAGGAGGGGGCAGCTTTAGGCCTCAGCTGGGAGGTCAGATGAGGTTCTAGTACCCTCTAGAGGAGAGAAAGTGCACTCGCCTGTATAGAGGTGAAGATTCGGGCCAGTGAGCCGCCAAAGAGCAGAAAGACGGTGATGGCTGAGAGCTGACCGGTGTGTCCGTTGCGGTAGTTGGTGGCTGCCTGGAGCAACTAGGGAAGGAGTTGGAGCTCACCTGAACTACTGCATGTTTCTATCAGGGTCCCCATACCCTTTTGTCCAACCCCCCTCTAGGCTTCTACCATCCCTTACTGAGTCCCCCCTCCCTGCCACCCTTTCCTTTTCCCAATACCCACCCTCCCCACCACCACAGCAGGCACGTTGGAGGCCTGGAGCAGGGTGACTACAGCCAGGGGCGTCAGTGGTGAGAGCAGCACCAGCAGGACCAGGGCGTAGCAGGCTAGGAAAGCAACACCTGTGGTCAGGGAAACAAGGAGTCCTCATCAGTCTGGCGGCTTCTGTTTTTCCCAGTCCTGTGTTCCCAGCAAGGTCCCCGGGAGCATCAGTTTGCTCTTGGGTAAATCCCCGGCACCTTTCACAGTCTGTCCTCTGTAGTGCAGGACCAGGTAGCAGATTGTGACTGTCTGGAGCATCAGGAACAGGGCTTCACCCCAAGAGCTGCAGAATCAGGAGTTGGGAAGAAGAAAGGCAGCCCGAAAAGGCAGAGAAAGCCTCTGTACCCAGTCATTCTCAAGGGATGGTTCTCATTCCTTGCCCATCGAGGTCCCTGCCTATGAGGTCCTTACCTCTTGCCTCTCAGCCGCCCCCATCTCCAACAGACTCACTCTAGATCCTGGTACTCTTGGGACGCTGGCCTTTTCTCAACTCCATCAATAACCAGTTTATTTCCTGTAGACCTAAAGCTTTCCTGCCCCTTTTCCTCCCTCATCCTAACCCTCACTAGAGTTGCAGGAGGGAGCCTCACCTGAAGGGGAAGTTGTTGGTGATGCTGTAAACCATGGTCCCAGTCAATGCCACTAGCTCCAGCATTACTGACTGGAGACTCAGTCCTTCAGCACTCTTGGCACCCAGTATTTTAAACACCTGAGGCAGTTTTACTGGAAAAAGGATAAAAGGGCAAGACTAAGGAGGTGTCATCCCTTGGGAGCCTGCCAGCTACAGAGTGGCCTGAGAAGCATGTTGATTCTACTTCTGGTTAAGGACCCATGCAATTGGTGGCATGTTAGCACTCCACACGCATCACAAAGTCAGGGAAGGAAGAGTTGATACATACCCAGGAGTGACCCCGCCACAATGCCCAAACCCAGGCTTTTGCTGAGGAGAATCTTGAGGCAGGGAACTGAGAAAAGAAAAAGGGGTAAGCAGAGATGAGACCTCTGGAACCCAGACCAGGGTTTTTGGGAAGCAGCCCAGGCCATAAGGCATTAATCTTTAAGGACTCATGGGCTGCCTCTGCTCCTGAAGTCCTGATACACCCACACAAAAAGCCTTGGCTTGGGCCCTCTCTGGTGGTGCAGTGGGTTAAAGCGCAAGCACTATAATGCTACTGGCAGCCACTGCAGCACGAATCCAATCCGAGTCCCATCCCCAGCCAGGGAGCTGACCCACATGGCACAACAGCCCTCTCCTGACCCACCCGCTGCTCCCCTCAGCAGTGTATTTCACCCTGTCTGTTATGCTCCCCACTCTTGTCTCTGGTGAATCTTCAACACCTGCACCTCTAGCTTGTACCCCAGTTCTTGATGTATAAATAAATCTTTAGGAAAAAAAAAAAAAGCCTTGGCTTGTCTACAGGCAGATGAAAAAGGCCTGGCACTTTCTAAATCATACCATGTTCAGACCAGGGGGACGTTCCAAAATCAGTTTTTACCTTTCTTTCCCTTCTACCCAATCTTCTATTCCCTGCAGATTACATTTAAACTCCTTGGTCTCACTTCCAAGGTTCCCACACTTCTCTCTACAGCAAGTCTGAATAATATTTTGTTCTATCGATGAGAAAAACATAATCCTAGCTAACTTTAAAAAAAAAAAAAACAATGTTATATTTCAGGACCTGCTTTAACTCTAAGTTGTTTTTGCTAAATCAGTTTTTAAGAACCTATCCATGGGGCCCTCCCTGATAGCAACCAGTTAAAGCACTATGAAGCTATCTGAAGCCATTGATGCATGAGTTCGATCCTTCCCCCAGGGAGCTGACCCACATGGCACAGCAGGCCTCTTCTGACCCACCTGCTGCTCCCCTCAGCATTGTATTTCAGTAGATCCACTTGTTCTGCTCCCCACTCTGTCTCTGGTGAATCCTCTCACTCCCCACACCTCTGGCCAGTACCCTAGTTCTTGTATGCATAAATAAATAAATCTTTAAGAGGGAATCCCTGATGGCCTAGAGGTTAAATCTCAGCACTATCACCACTATGGTTTGAATTCTATCCTCAGCCAGGAGGGCTAATGCACATGACACAGCAAACCTCTCCTGAACCACCTGCTGCTCCCCTCAGCAATGAATTTAAGTCAATCTGCCCATTCTGCTCCCTGCTCTATCTCTGGTGACTCCTCTCACTGACCCGCCATCCCCTCCACTCTGGCCTGCACCCCAGTTCTTCTATTTCTTCTATGAAAAAGTATCTTTTTTTTTTTTTTTTAAAGAACTGGCTCCTCCCTGATAGTGCATGGAGTGTTAGGTCTCAGTATTATGAAGCTGTCTGCGGCCACGGGAGCTGACCCACATGGCAAAGCAGACCTCTTCTGACCCACCTGCTGCTCCCCTCAGCAGTATTATTTCAGTAGATTCACCTGTCCTGCTCCCCACTATGTCTCTGGTGACTCCCCACACCTCTAGCCTACACTCCAGCTCTTGTATGTATATATAAATAAAAATAAGTCTTTAAAAAAAAAAAGCTAGCCATGACATTAAGAAGTGAAAACTATCTTAGTAATGCCCTTCGATTTTTATTCCCCTCCTGAGCAATTAAGATTCATCTTTTATGTCTTTTGTCTCCTTATCACTTCTTCCTAAGAACTTTGTCCCTAATATTCTCCCTCACCCCACTTAGAGACTCAATCCTATCCTTGTAGGGCTTGCTTTTATGCCCTCGCCACTCACATCTTATGCAGCTTTGAAGTATTCCCCCCCAAAACACCTGACCAGGTGGGAGGCATGCTCACGGACCACAAATACAATGAAAAAACAAAGTCCCAAGAGCACAATAGGATGCCAAGAACTAAGAAGGGAAGACAAGGCAGACTTCCCAAAGTATCTGATATCTGCGGTGGACTTGACTGAAATTGCCTCGTAGATGATAAAGTGAAAGGAAGGCAAGTCACTACAAAATGATTAAACGTGCAAGCTGGAAAGTCAGGAGGATGACAGATGCTTTTGGGGGTGCCACTAAATGTCCCGCTCTGTGAGTTTCACCTAGCCCCTGAAGGTTCGGCGAGTATAGCTTGGTGTGGTTTTATCATATTTTCACTTTGTTCTGTAATACCTGAGTCTTTGTTTTTCACCGCCGCTAAAGCACAAGCTTCTCGAAGTACTACCACCACCTGGCGACTCCCCCGCTCGCCCAAATATGGAGCACTTCCGCCCCCCTGAGAAGCGACTTCCGCCCAGCCCAGCGTGGCAGTAGTTACTCCCGGCACTTAGGCCGCAGTCACGCCCCACTATCGGCCAGGGTCGCTCGAGCAGAACTCTAACCGGATGCCGAATAAAACTCACCGTGAAGCAGGTCCCACTGGACGAAAATTTGGTCGTAGCATTTTTCAGGTAAAAGAATTGGCACCAACACCCGCTTGAGCGGCCCTTCTGCTTCGGCCGCCATGTTGCAAAGCTGGCTTCCGCCAGTCTCTCCAGACCGCCATTGACTTATGGTGCGCATGCGCGCTGTGGACACCCCGCCTCTTAACTTTTCCCGCGACTAAATGAGACCGCCCATTCCCCACGCTTAAGGCGCCCCGCCGGCAGCGTGAAATGGGCTCTGTCTAGATACCGAGTTCTGGACGCACCCTCCCTGCTGTTCCAATTCCAAAGCGTGCCAAAGCCTAACGCCTGCGCAGTTTCCATATTTCGCGCTTTTGTTTACGCTTCCGTTCGGAAGCAAGATTTATTCTCCCGCTTTTCCGCCCCCACCCCTGCCGGGCGCCATCTTGTCTTCTCCCAGTCAACTGTATACACTGCTCGAAGTTGAGGGTGAAAGGAGCTTGTCACCAAAATGGCGCTGAGTGGGGACGCTTTTTGGTTTTTCTTCTCGGGTTCCCTAGAGGTAACAGTGCCGACGGGAACAGAACGGTCTGAGCCAGGCAGCCATCCATAGGCTCTGAGCTGTGGCCTCTCTGGTTTGACTAAACCATAGTGCCCAGCAACTGCTGGGCCAGGAAGCACAAGAGTCGGTGGTGGAGGGCAGACACCCATGGCCCTGGCAGTTCTCCATGCAGCAGCTCACTTACTGCGAGAGGCCGGGTGTTCACTCACATCTCTGGGCCGAGGTCTGCCCCCTTCTTTCCGCAACTCTGTGCATGTGCTGAGCAAAGACTTTAATAAGCTGGGCCCCACAGCTCTCCTTGGGATAGGGCATTTTAAACTACCTGGCGAGAACAGTGCCCTTGTGGCACCAACTCTTGGCCATTCTAGCAGAGAAGGGCCAGGTGCATCCAGTGAGTGTAAGACTGTTGGGAAGCCATTTGGCATCTATAGCTTCATAGTCTACAAGATCGTAGGGGATGTCAGCAAGGTGGTGGTGGGGTGGTTGGGACCCTGCCAGGGGCAGGCTGCCGCAATGGGCAGATTTCCAGGTCTCCCAAGTGCTTTCAGTAGCCTTATAGGAGCCCTGTGACTGGAACAGCCCTCCCTAGACAGGGTGCCAGTGGTTGGGTTTCAGCCTCCTTGAAATGGAGGACTGGTAGTTTTGTGCAGACCATTTCTGTCTGGGAGGGAGGCCCTTTCTAGAACGTGGGCAAAAGTTGCAGGCATGTTTCTGGACTCCAGGTAGAGGGTAATGGTTGGTGGAGGTCAGAGGACCCCCTTGCTCCCTCCCTTGCTACTGAAACCGCTTGAAGTTTCGACAGCATCTCAACATCCAACTAACTTGGACGCAGTGGGCAGGGCAGGGTATTCCTGTTGCTAAGGAAACACTACACACCTTTTGAATGAAATGACACCCAGGTGACCTTCCCACCCACACTCATTGCTACTGCCTGCTTCACCTGTAATTGTATGTGAGTGTTGGCAAGGGAAGTGAAGCCCATTGTCTCCAGCTGTGCCGGGTTTGGGAGATGAACCCAGGAAGGTTTGCAGACAGCTGACTTTTTCATCCCTCTTAACCAGTTCTTTGGCTTCCTGAGAAGCAGCCATGGAAGGCACAGAAAAGCATGGGACAAGATACTTTTATTCCAGGCAGGAAGGACATGGAAAGCGGAGAACCAAGATGGAGTAGGTTTTACCACTCTCCCAGTGGAGTTGGAGAGAGGGGAACCTGTCACGTTTAATAAAACTCTCCCCTCACCCCCTTCAATTACATTATCACTACTTTTGCTTTTCAAGACACAGAGAAAAGGTAACTTTGTCTCTGAACCCGATGCATGGTGTCCTGGGTATTAAGGCATACGCTCAGAGGGGCTGGTAGGAGGGTGGGCGTCTCTGGAAGATGCAGAAGGTAACCAGCACCAGGGCAAGGAGGCCAAGAAGGATCAGGCCGATGATGAGAGGCAGCAAGATGGAATGGTCACTGGTACAAGAGACACCTGGCAGAAAAGGCAAGTAGTTATCACTGAAGTGGTGGCAGGGATAAAGGTGAGAGGGGGAAGCAGGAGATGGTGAGGAGCTTACCAAGATGACTCAGAGCAGCAAATGAGAGCAGGGGCAGTCTTACCCAAGAGAGGAGGACAGTTGCCTTATAGTTATAACAAGCCTGAGAGGAAGGAAATTATGGGGTATAGGAACAGAGATTATAGGCTTGGGGCAGGAGCTTTCAGGAATGACGACTCTTACTTGGTCCAAAGTCTCCTGTGGCGGGCAGCTGAGCAGCCTGTAGTTTCAGGTAGAGCAGATCGAGGTGGAAAGCTGGTGAAAGAGTGATGCTTGCATTTTCACAACTGAAGCTTTTGCCCAAGGGGGCTTGAAGATCTTGAAGGGATGAATTCTTAACTGAGAATGTTGACTCTGAAAGAGTGAGGCAGAGTCAGATCCATGTCTGCCTCCTGACTCCCTAGCTTGGTTCCCCCCCAACCCCGAACCGCCTCAGTGGGGCCAGACATTCATGCAAGTTATGAGAAACAGAAGGTTACTCACGTGCTGCCTCGTGGAAAGACACATTGTACTCTACAGCCATGTAGTTTAGGTAGACAGTGTTGTGCAGTGGCTCCTAGGGAGGGGACCAGGCTCAGGGCAGCAGGGGAGAGCAGGAGCCAGGTGGAATAAGGAGTGGGCAGGGATTGGCAGGGTGGGGTTACCTGCTTGAATCCAAAGCTGAGCTGTCCATAGGGGAATGAGAGAAGCAACTGGGGGTGGGTACTCTCACAACCCCCCTGGACCTTGGTTTTGCTGGGGTTCAATACAGAGGAGCCCCAGGCCTATGGAAGTTAAATATTAGGTCATAAGACTGCACAGCCATGCCATCCAAAGTTCCCTATTCCTTTGAGCCCCACCCTGTATTTGCCTCCTTTCTGAACCACAGCAATAAACTGGCCCACTTCCCCTCAAGTCCTCCACTGTCTTATCTTTACCTCTTTTCCAGCCTGGGTTGGGTATTGAATTCGCATCTGAATCTGGGCTTCGAGCCGGACACAAGGCTCAGAACCATTGTTCCATATGTAGTTTCCTATGTTCTTAATGCCTGGGCTAGGACTTGGAGAGGGTGAAGGAGGTGGTCCTGGTTGGGGGGAACTGGTGGAGAATCCCGGACTGGTGGTAGTGCTGTTGTCTGTTGGATGAACTGTGGTGTTCCCATGACCAGTGGTGGTAGGCCTGTGGGTCGTTGTGCGTTGGCTGGTGGTGGTGGTAGGATTGTGAGTGGTTGGTGTGGGTCTCTGGCTGGTGGTGCGTGGAGTGGTGGTCCTGTGACTCTTGGTAGTGCTGTGGCTGGTTGTCTTTGTGCTGGCTGTAGCTGTGGGTGTCACCGTGAAGGATGGCAGCAGAGTGGCAGATTTCTTCCGAGGACAGTCATTCCCTGCCCCCTGTCCTTTTAACAGAGAAAAACTGGTTAATGATCCCAAGAGGCAGGTTCCTTCCCAGTTTTCCCTCCCATCAGCTCCCACAGCCCCCTTTCTCCTTACCTGCTAATAAACCCAGTAAAGCCCCAGTGAAAAGTATAGCTAGCCTCATGGTGAAAGAGCTTCACCCAGCTCAACTGGGTTTTCAGTGCCAACTGCAGTCCTATCCTCTGCCTTTTTGGAAGAGGAAATGAAAGTCTTCACTTCTTATAACTGCAATGATCCCACCCCCATTCTGACTCAGACACCTCAGCTCCAGCCACCAAACCCTTAGTCATTACATTTTTGTCAAGACAACGGTCCTGGCTTCAAGTGGGGGTTCTCAGGGTCAAGTTACATGTGGACAGAAAGGTTCAAATCAACTGATCCTTGAGGAACCCACTTGCCTAAGGAAACCTGAGTCAGTAGTTACAATGAAAATGGTTGACAAGAATGCAACCCCTACTTGGAGTTGCTGTGGTCTTGAGAAAAAACTAGAATGTCTGTTCCCCTCCATCTCTTCAGCTACTGTGGTCTCCGGAGAAAAATCCAAGTAAAATAGAATTTTCTATTACCCTCCATTTCTTCACTTCCTCCTGGCTTAAACATGTGAGGCTAACTTGATGGTGCTTACCCAAGCCTGTTATAAGGATCATGCTTTCCCATTACACAACTGTTTCCTGGTCAGGATGTCAAATAACCAAACCCACATGAGGGCAAGTATTAGCTGGGGGGGGGGAGAGAGGGGAGCAGAAATAGACCCAATAGCAAGTGGGAGAGAAGCAGAGGTTAAGAAATGAGAAGCCCAAACAGGCAGTTTCCAAGTTATTTTATTCAGAATTTTGTGTTTGTTTCCTGAATCAATAAATACTATACAAAACAATGTAAAAATGGCTACCATTTTCTCCCCTGCTCCCCCCCCAATCTGGGGACTGTCCCCTGGGCCACCTATCTCAGGAGTTCTCCCTCCAGATTTGGTCCAGCGAATGAGGTTGAGTGACATAGCCCCTTGATCCTTTTCAGAGGAATTTGGCTGGGGTGGGGAGAGCCTTGGGTTTGGAGGTTGACTAGGTTAGGGAAATGGATTAGTGTTTTTGGGAGAAGAGTCGGCGCCTGGGGCGAGTTTACCCCAAAGAAAAGGGTGTCTAAAATGTTCACGGTTCCTTCTTTTGCCTCAAAAAGTGACATTTATTCAAAGAAAAAAAGAAAAAAGAAAAAAAAAAAAGACAAGATGTCCATCCCTTGGCTCCCTTCCCTCCCCCCTCCTGCTTCTCCTCAGCCCCCAAGGATTAAACCCTGGCCAGGGCTAGGCAGGACCGCCCCTCAGATTAGGTCGGCAACATTGAGAGGCATCTCCTCAATGGAGGTGTTGTAGAAGGTCTCGATATCTCGAAGAGTCCTCTTGTCTTCTTCTGTCACCATATTAATAGCCACACCCTTACGGCCAAAACGTCCACCACGACCAATTCTGGAAAATAAGGACACCTTGGGATAAGCAAGGGTAAGGGAACTAGGATACATCAGGAGCTTCTGCTTTGGAAGATGTGGGCACTGAGGGGTTCCAGATATAGTTACCTGTGGATGTAATTTTCCCTGTTGGTTGGAAGGTCATAGTTGATGACTAAAGAAACCTGTTGCACATCGATGCCTCTGGCCTATGTCAAGAGAGAGGATAAACTTCAGTGTGTGAATATAAAACCTGTCCGGGAGGGACTGTTAAGTATACATGTAGGCAGCCAAAGGCAGGCAAAGGAAATAAACATCCCCTCCTCCAAAGACCTCAGGCATGCCAGATTCTATTCCAAGTTGCTACTTTCCTTTAGAAGGGCACTAGTAAGCCCCCTGGAGAGGGAATCACCTTGGATCATTCCTTCTTCCCTTCCAGCTTCTTCAAATTCCCCTCAACTCACCAACAGGTCAGTGGTAATCAATACTCTGCTAGAGCCGGAGCGGAACTCCCTCATGATCACATCTCGCTCCTTTTGGTCCATATCGCCATGCTAGATGGAACAGGAAACAGAGGGTCGTAAAATGGACAGGTGCCACGGTTCAGAGTAACAGTGCCTGTTAACAAGGTGGGGGAACTCACCATGGCTGAGACAGTGAAATCTCGGGCATGCATCTTCTCAGTGAGCCAATCAACCTTCCTTCGAGTGTTAATGAAGATGACTGCCTGGGTGATGGTCAAGGTTTCGTACAAGTCACACAGTGTGTCCAACTTCCACTCCTAGGGGAGGGGGAGGGGGGAGAAAAAAAAAAATCAGTCAGGGGCTATACCCACCAACTTATTTCCAGGCCCGCCTCCTGCACTGGAGCCCCACCTCTCGTTCCACATTGATGTAAAATTGGCGGATACCCTCCAGAGTCAACTCTTCTTTTTTGACAAGAATCCGAATGGGGTCCCTCATGAACTTTTTGGTCACCTCAAGCACATCAGAAGGCATTGTAGCTGACAGCAAAACCACCTAATTGGGGGTGGGGTGAGAAGAAATCAGTCTCAAGGTAGTAGGTACTGTCTGATTATCCTGCCACCTCCCCTAGCCACAACTAAAACAGAAGTCAGTGCATACAAAAGCTTGTGATTAAGATTTCAGCCGTTTTAATGGTTCTATTTAATTGAATTAAGTTATGAGAAACCCAAAATGGCAGCTTCCAAGCTATTTCACTCAGAATTTTGTTTCCTTAATCAATAAATACTAGTTACTCCAACCTATCACCATATCACAGAATCTGTAAAACAATACAAAACTGAAAGTAACAATTTACGAATATCCTCACCTGAGTGTTGCTATTAAGCTTTTGGAATATGTCATAGATCTGGTCCTTGAAACCACGGCTCAACATTTCATCAGCTTCATCCAATACAAACATCTTGATATACTTGGGAGCTATAGGAAGGTAGGTGATAGATACATCAACAGGTAGTAATTAGATAAATGTGAAATACACTCAACAAGGGGGCAGGGACAGTGCTCTGCTCTCAGAATACAAAGACTGATCCTTTGTCTGGGACCCCCTGTCAGGTTGGATAATAGCCCTGGGTGGTAGAACACTACCTGGGGCTGAGACAAGGGAACCAGGCTCAGATGACACGCATGGGGTTCATCACAGAGCAACTCTTTCAGGGAGGAAACTGACATCACTGAATGTTGACCCACAGCCAAGGGTAATGACTGGGAAAGCATATAATAGAGGAAAATGACTCTGAGGTTAAACAAGTTTGAGGTACTCACACAGGTATCTCCTGTTAAGCATGTCAAATACACGGCCAGGGGTACCCACGATGATATGGGGAGCTTCCATCTGCAGCTTTTGCACCTCAGCACGGACATTGGTACCCCCAATACAAGCATGGCAGGAAGCACCCATGTAATCTCCTAATGCCATGACCACCTTCTGTATCTGAATTTACAGAAAGATAAATGCTCTCAAGGTTTCTGGTTCCAGCTTATACACAGGCTCACAATTACATACAGCCGACTAAAATAATCCCAAGCAAGGCTTATTACTACCATTAGACTACCCTCACCCTAACCACTTTCTTAAAAGTTAATTGTGACCTATTTATTTGCTCACACAGCAACCAAGTTTTATGCAGCTATTATTTGTTTGGTTTTTATACTCCTTATCACGGTACCTATTCTAGGTAGTACTCACTATTAAAAAGCACATTCCAGACATAATGGAGTTCTACCAGAAGTTGCTAAACTGTCCTCATCCAGAAATTAGCAGTTATCACTATATCCTGAGTTTTAAGGGGAACAATTACTTAATCAAACCCATGTTTGATATCCTCCCCTTCTAAGACCAAGGAAGGAAAACACTTGATTTTAAGTTTGTGAAAATATTAGGATGTCATGTGCCCTAGGCATGAAACAGCTCTGGCCACCAATCCAGGCATCAAGCTAGGATGAACAAAGGACTGCATATGCTTTGCCCCTGAATGATATAAGAATAACACCACCAATCAGGTGTCTCTTTGCCCATTGCCAGGGGGTATGCTGGTCTAACAGCCAAACAAACTTGCCTCACCAGCCATGTTCTACCCAGCAGCCTTTCCAGCTGATGGAGGAATGCTGTGTTTGGGTCGGAAAAGGCTTATAATTAGTCTATAAAGATCGGATTTTTTTATGCTAAAGATACTCTCCTTTCCCCACACTTCACCCCTCTGGATTATTGCAATTGTTTTGCAAATCATTAATTACTTGAGGACAAAAAAGCCACACACCTGCTGAGCCAGTTCTCTAGTGGGTGCTAGCACCAAGGCCTGGGTGGCCTTTAGATCCAATTCAATCTGTTGCAGAATTGATATGGCAAAAGTAGCTGTTTTCCCAGTTCCAGATTGAGCTTGAGCGATCACATCATAACCTGAAACAAATTAGGAGGGAATTTAACACAGTAGAACACACATTAAATCTGAAATAAACTCAAGCCCCTGGACTATGAAATAACCAATAAAGTTAAGGCAAAACACTAAGTGCTTCAGACTTTACCTCATAGTACATAATGAAATTAGAGCTGGAAATGATTACAGGTTATTAACTGTAAACCAAGTATGTGCTAACTAAAGCAACTCATTTAACTAAACCTTAAATGAGCAAGCCACGTGTTCACAGCATGAACCAGACATAGATACAGACAAAAAGCCAAGCTGGGATAAACAAATTGTGCTTTGTCCTTAGCTGGTATCTGATGAGCACGCACCACCACCACCAGATGCTACTCTACCCAGTACAGTAACAGTTCAGAATCTGTTCTGGAAATTAGGTATCTTACCCTTGATACAAGGAAGAATGGCTCGCTGCTGGATGGCAGAGGGCTTCTCAAAACCGTAAGCGTAGATGCCACGAAGAAGAGACTCCGAGAGGTTCATGTCATCAAAGCTGTCGACAATCTCATTCCAGTTACTCTGCAGAATGCAAAGAAATAAAACACATGGGACTTGGCTATAGCACTGGAGCAAACAATATGCCTACATTGAAGCTTGAAGCTCACAATTTTCCCTTCCAGGAAATTAACTGATTCCAAATGACCTGGGAAGTCCCTCTAAAGTGGCCAGCCAGTCCATTTGTTAACTGAGACTAGAGAATTTTAGAGTAAGATTGTCCAGTTTTAAACATACCTCGCTACACTAACACCCCAGAAACCAGACTGCCTTTCTCAGATTAATAAACAATGGCAATGGGGGGGCGTGGTCTAGTCTCACCTCGATGACACCTTCGGGCTCCATCCCATCAGGGCCATTGTCTCTGGATCTGTCAATTTAAGATGAATACACTGAAGCACTTTGGAAATCTTGACAGTCCGGCTTCTACCAACAACCCACCTCATGTGATGCCATGAGCCAGCTCCCTCAAGTTTTCCCTGAACGCAGTGGTTACAACTAGGTTAGGCCTTTGCTCCAATCCCTGTGGAGCAGCCCAGGACAGTCCGCACCCAAACTGGCAGCGAACCCTCGGAGAAGACTCAAAGGCTGGAAGGTGCGCTGCCGCCGACTGGGATGTAGTAGTACTTGCCACGCGGCCACGTGTCCCACGCCTGGCCGCTCCAAGCTCAAGCGCGTGCACCTCCCACAGCAGCCAGCGCGCCGGAAGTCCCGCCCTTCTCCCAGAACGGAGGGTAGGACAACCCCTTCCCCCCACGTCATTCCGCCCGCGCCCTCCCCCCACTCCCTCCAGCCGATCTCCCCCCTCGCGGTGCCCGGATGTGGGAGGCCGCGGGCGGTGGCGGCCTCGCGCACAATGAGCCCCAGCCGAGCTAGCATAGGGGGTAGATTGCACAACACTCAGAAGCCAAGCCGGCTGGGGGAGGGGAACGCCTCAGGCCGCCATGTGCTCACACCCTCGACCACCCGGCGGCGTCACCCCCACCTTCATAGAACAATCCACATCCCGCCCGCCCCCGTCGCGAAATGGCGTCGCCCTCCCATACCTCAGGCCGCTCACCCCCGAAGGAAAGTGGACCTGCCCATCCGCAGTTTGCCAATTGCCCGGCTTGTGCGGCAAAATGGACCCGCCCGCCCGGCGCCGGGTGGGCTCCTGGTGCCTCACGCGGCCGCTCCTCGGGGGTAGGCTCGGTCCTGGCCGTCAAGAAAACCAGCACATTGAACGGCCGGTTTCTTCTTCCCCCGACCCACATTTCAACGCGATGAAGTGACTGGAGCTGCGGGCCCAAGCACCCCCCACTTTGGCGAGTGGTACCGTCAGAATCCTCCGGAATCCCGAGCGCGCGCGAGCCCTCCCCCCGGCAGTGAGGCAGCTGGACCTGCCGCCTCTACCTTTCCCACGCGAGGTCGCGACCTCGTCTCGCCACTCAGCGCCGGGGCTTTGTGGACGGAACCGCGGTGGACCGAGGCCTCCTAACGAACCCCACACGCTAGGATCCCGAAAGCCGGGGTGTCCTTACTCTCTGCCTAGGCCCTGGTGGCAGCGTCGGACATGGATCTGTCCCCTCCCTCTCCCTACAACAGTTCCTCTCGCCTTGGTTTCCCCGCAGGCCTGGTGGGCCTAGGGCGGTGGGCCTCAGCTTCCCATGGCGGGGCTCTCGGAAGGGAGCGGCAGGGTAAGTAGCCACAACCTCTTGCAAATGCCTTTCTTACCGGGAATCCTGACTCGCAGACATGATCCTTAGAAACTAGGGCGGAGTGCCCGCCTATCGACAACTTATAAAGCGCCCGACTCCGCCCCAGCCATCGCATTGGCTTGGCCGCCTCGGCCCCGCCCGCCGGCGCTCAGCAACTCGGCGTGACGTTACTTCGTAAGCGCTCAGGCACGCCGCCACCATTGGATAACTTCAGCGCCTATCAAGGAGAAGACCCGCCCCACAGCCTCATTGGCTAAAAGGCCCGCCTTTCTCGCCGGTACGGAAGTGACATACGGGAGTCAGGCCTCGAGGCTTGGCAGCCATCTTGGGGCCCTGTACCCCTACACGTGCGGAGGTGATAGTGTCTTAGTCATGTGGCCTAATAGGCCCTATCACGCAAAGGGGGCGAGGTTTCAGTCTCCAGGGACTTCCGGGCTCCCGGGACTACCAGTTCACTTTACCTCTCTTTGCTCTAGGTCTCACTATAACTACATTTTATTTTGATCTCTCCTGCAGCAAAGAGGTCAGATACTACCCCGGTGTGTACTAAAGGTTGAAAGAATCAGGAGCCATACCCTTCTGGCTGGAGAGAAGAGTACTGAAATGACTTTCTGGGGGCATTTGAAGTTGTCATGAATCAACCCTGTCTGGCACCCTTAAGTGTTCCCTAGATGTTACACTTATCTCAAAGTCTTACGGAACCCTAGCCCAGATTCTTTTGGGTGATGAAAACCATTGTCTGAGCCAAGGATAGAGAGTTGGTCCCTGTATTCGCAAGACCCCAAAAAGGGTAGTTAACAGCACTAGCTACAAGAAAGTCTAAAACAGCATATATTCTAGTTTGAGGACCCTTAAGGAAGACCACCACTATGTATCTCCAAAGGATCCTTTATTGACCAGAGCAGGACCGTGGCATTTATATATATATATGTATATATATATATAAAAAAGTTTGAAGATCTGGCAGGCAGTAATCCCATTGCCGGCCCACTTGCCGGCCCACCAACCCAGTACAGATTTTCTTAAACACCCTCCCCCGCCAGCACAGGGAAGGGGGATGACTGCCCCACCCAAGTCACAAGACCATAGTCCCCTACAGAAGGGGAATGGGGCTTTTCCATGGCCACCCCTTGAACATTAGGAATCAACAAGTATTCTCTCAAAAAAAAAAAAAAAAAATACAGAAATCCAAACATTTAAATATGAAAAAACCAAGGGGAATTGGATGGGCGGAGGCAAAAGAGGAAAGGAACTGGAGTTTCTTGGGAAGAAAGGGTCTCCCATGTCCCCATGCCCATTAATGAATGGGCTTGAGGCCTGGGATAAGAGGCTCACACAGTGAGTTTGCAGTGACACAGCTCCTTGTAGATCTGCCGGCGAAGTTTGGGCATGTCCTGCTGGGTGAAGCTGAATGGCTGAGACAGGGCCAGGTGCTTGCAGTACTGGGTGTTAACAAAGCAGGCTATGAGAACCACCTAGTAAGCATCCCCCCCCCAAGTCAGGACCTGTGCTACACATTTCTTCTGTGCTAAATCTCACTCCATCCCCATTTCACAAAGGGAGCCAAGGTCCTTTAGCCCGTGGCTCAAAAAAATCTGACTCTAAAGTCACTGTCTTACTTGGTACAAAATGAAGTACCTGGTGTTAGAGGGAAGAAATACTTTGGGTTGGAGGTGGGGCAGCAGCTATAGCTGGGCCAAGTATCAAGGACCAAACCCAATCCTAATATAAGGAAGCAGATGAATGAAATTAGAGTTTTTGCATTCTAACACATAGTTACTCCCTGCTCTACAGGTGACTATGAGGCAATGAGAGATGCACAATATCCCCCTGCCTCCCGCCCATTGCATTAACCCAACAAATATCTACTTACCTGCAACACAAAGGCACCACAATCACTGTCATTATTCTGCCTGGCCACATTCTAGAGGAAAAAATAAAAAGGTAGGTTCTTTACCTGAAGACTCCTATGAGGTATGGCTTCAATTTCTGCCTCCTACCACCAACCTCACCATCAGCCCTTACACCTCCCTCTAGTAACTCACCATCTTGAAGTATCCTTTCCAGCCCTGATGAAAGTCCAGCCGGTCTTTTTTCACTGCCTCTGCCTGTAGATACTTGGCAATATGCTATGGATAAAGATAGAGAAAAAGAGGAAGTGGTACCCTATGTTTCCAAACTGAACCCAGGGTATGAGGGTCACAGACACCATGCCCAGGTCACTCCACTGAGACCCAAAACCACCCCTCTGGTGGAGTGCCTTGCAACTGGATCTCCCCACATTCTACCTCTTTTTTCCCTCCCCTTTCAAACCTTAGGGCAGCGGCGGTTCAGGGTACGCTGCGAGTCAAAATAGGTGATGGTACGTTGCCTCACATCAACAGAGATGAGGGACCAATGTACCTCCAGGTGGATAGGAATTAGCAGTAGCTCCTTATTGAAGATGTCCACCTAAGAAGGGAGTGACAGAGGTCAGATAAGATAGCACAAGAGTCCTGCTACCATGAGGGTTCTAAAAAGAAATAAAGCAGCAGACAAGGAGCTAAGTGGAAGGATACAAGACCCAAGTCCTGCATTGTGAGCCAAGGCTCCACATCTTGATAGATCTAGATTCTTGGGGCAAGGAAAGGCGAGACAGAGGAAGTCATGTCAGAACAAACACCCCAGAGTCTGTGATAGGCCAGGTATTTTCCACACATTAAAGGTAGAAGAGCTTAGTAGCTCAGGATTCTGGAACCAAGTCCAAATGTAGCTTCTGTTTTTTCTTATGATCACAGACAAATAACTTTCTGTATCTCAGTTTCTTGTCTCAGAGATCATACCCACAATAGTACCTGCCTCTGTTATAAGGATTAAATGAGTTCATACCCATAATATAGGGGTCTCCCTAGTGATTACATCTCCCTAGGAATTTAGTCTCAATGCTATCTCCACTAAAGCCTGAGTTCAATCCCCCACCAGGGAGCTGACCTACATATGGTATAGCAGACCTTCCTGTCTCACCTGCTGCTCCCCTTAGCAGTGTATTTCAGTAAATCTGTCTGTTCTCCCCACTCTGTCTCCGGTGAATCTTCCCCCAACCTCTGGCCCACATTTCAGTTCATCTATGTGCAAAAAAAAAAAAACCCTCCATAATATACTTAGAACAGTGCATGGCACCTAGTAAATGCTCAATCAATTCATACAATAATCTCATGAGAAAGCTCTTGGGCTAAAGGGAGAAGGCAGGCCAGAGGAAAAGTAAAGCAATTTGCCCAACATGACAGAAATAAAGAACGGCAGAAATGGTATTCAAACACAGGTATATAGAAGACCAAATTCTTTCTACAGTATGTCACCCTGCCTCTATTGGGACAGATAGCCAGCCAGGTCCCTCAGGATATATATTCTTGAACCTGAGTACAAAATGTGCTAAAACCAATGGTTACCCCTCACTGTAGCAATTCCAGGTCTTTGATATGGGAAAGTGCAGGGAGAAAATAAATTTTTCCTCATTAACTCTGTTCCCCACCCCCATCCTTATTTACCCCCAAACCTCCATTTCATTCTCAATTCCTGTCCTACCAGTTGGATCTACCTGCAAAACTTATCTTAGCTAAAATCACTTCTACGCTACCTCACCACTCAGGTCAAGTTTCTCATCTAGACTTCTGTGCTACTATCCTAGTCAATCACTCTCACCTCCCTTCCAACCTCTCACTGCAGTAAGAATTTAAGGCTCTCCCTTGTGGCACAATGGGTTAAAGCACAGCACTATAAAGCTAACTCCACCACTGCAGAAAAATTTCGATCCCCTGCCAGGGAGGTAACCACATGGCACAGCAGACCTCTCCTGACCCGCCCACTGCTCTTCTCAGCAGTGTATTTCAGTACATCTGCCTGTTCTGCTCCCCACTCTGTCTCCGGTGAATCCTCTCACTGCCCCCCACCAACCTCTGTCCTATACCCCAGTTCTGTATGCATAAATAAATCTTTTTTAAAAAATAGGAGTTTAAAACAAACGATTCTGAGTCTGCTTAAAACTCAATGACTTCTCAGAACACACAGAGTAAGATAATTTTATTTTCAACAGCCTACCCTCCATGCCTTACATGATCTGACCAAATTTTCATACTCTTTCCCAGCTCCCTCTGCTCCAAACACAGAAACCATCCACATGGACCCCTTGTTCCTCAAATATGTTTTCTCACCTTACATCCCATGTGCTTGCTATTCCATCTGCCTAAAACAGTTCTCCAACAGCCCCTCTGCACATGACTGGCTTCTCATTACACAAGTCTCAACTAAGAGAGGTCTTCCCAGACCACTAGTTGAGCTTAGACTTTCTTAGTTATTCTCACTCCACAAAGGCAACTTTTCCTTATTTAAGACTACATCCTTAGTTCCTAAGTATTACCTACCAACAAAAGACATTTAATAAGCATCTGAAAGCTTTGAGTGAAACAGGGTTGGAGAAAGGACTCAGAAAAAAATTCTAATTTGTTAAAGGTAGATGTGAATTTATAACTCACATTTTTGGTCCACCTTTTCACCCCATCATAACCCTTGGTTCGGAGTTTATCATAGAAGAAACTGTTGAAGAAATGCACCTGTGCCAATGACACAAAAGAGCTGGATGGAATTAAAGACATCAGGTCCTCCTGCAAAGTCCCCCTCCCCAATCGACTTCATTTAATCACGTCTGGAAGGACTGGTTTCAACAATCTCTACTTCATTCACTGAGGATTTTCAAAAAAATTGTCTTTAATCTTATTTTACAGCCTACCATCCTAATTTGCGGGCACACTAAAGACTAGAAGGAAGCAACAGAATTGATACATTCAGAACCAAGGTTACAGATTTAAATTTAGCAGGTTAC